TGTCTCTATATTCTGGCTAATCATACAAACAGTAATTCTATCATTGAGAAAGAATTTTGTTCCCCTAGTAGGAAATAATAGAAAGTAAGGTTCACATTTTCACTCAGCTACTGCTTCTCCTCTTTGAATGAAATTATGTTGCTACTCAACACTATGACCAATAAAGGACAGTAGGTTTCTAAAATAGCTGGGATTAGGATAAAGTCTATAATAATTAAGATAAAAGATTTTTGTTTTTGTTTTTGTTTTTTTCTGAGACAGGGTTTCTCAGTGTAGCTTTGGAGCCTATCCTGGCACTCGCTCTGGAGGCCAGGCTGGTCTCGCACTCACAGAGATCCTCCTGCCTCTGCCTCCTGAGTGCTGGGATTAAAGGCGTGCACCACTGGCTAGGATAAATGTTATAATTTTCCATGAACTGCTAACATCTAAAATGAGGGTTAAATGTGAAGTGTAAGACAAATGAAATTAGACTGACAAGGTATTAGTTGAGATTTTTAGTATCTCTTGGTGAATGAGATACAAACCTGCTTTACTGTTATGAGTGGCTTTGTATTTCTTCTGGAAATGAGAAGATGAAGCTAAGAGAAGGAATGTCTATGGAACAAATGCCAGAGTTTGTGCCAAAAATTCATAGATCATTTAGCTATATGAACACTGTTAAAGTGTGTGCATAATCATATATTCTTGGAAATCAAAGACTCAACATTAAATAAATGTAGATTAATTTCTACAAACAGATTTGTATTTCCCCCATCTGCTCTCTTAGTGCACTTGGCACACCAAAGGCTTTCAGCAAATAGCTACTGAGTAAATAATTAAGGTATGAACTCTGTCATCATTTATCCTTCTAACTGTTAAAACATTGCTACAATCTGAGATTTCACCAGTGTCACAAATTGCCTCACTTTTTCAAGTTCTCATTCATGAGAAAGAGGGTGTGACTATCTATCTTAGTGCAACTGCTATAACATATTCATATACAAATGCTAATGAAGTGCAGAGGCAGCATCCTGCCCCATCAGAAAGGTACAGACTGTCCCCAAGGTCATGAGAATCCCACTGCAGAGAAATGACAAAGTCTATATTCTGTCAATTCTGAAGGAGACTCTACTACAAAGTGTAAAGTTTGGAGGAGTCCCTCAAAGTCCATGTGCACTTAGAAGCTAGAATTTGGTATTCTTTTTAAAGAAATTATTTCTTTTAATTTAAAATTTGAATGTATATGGTTATAATCAGCTAAACTAGGTAAGGCTAGATTAGAGAAAACCCCAGTTTTAGCCTCTGGTTTCCTTGTAAAATTAAGAATGAATGTAGAGGCACACTCAGTAAGTGAAGCATTTAGAATGTGAAAGGAATAGAACCAGGCTCAGTGCAGCAATGGCAAATATTGCTAGCTATAGCCAGATGCTGGGAAAAAGAGAGCCAACAAGTTGGTGGCAATGTGTTACGGAAGTTTGAGGAAATCAAAACAGATTTACAGATCTGAACAAAAGGAAGTGAAGGGGCAGGAATTCCTGAGCTAATTGGGAGCATGAAGGGTAGGGGAGAGGGAGCTGCCAGAATGAGAGGAGGAGAGAAGGAGAGGAGAGGAGGATATGGAGGAGCAGAAATATTGAGTTGAGAGAACAATAGAGGAGAGAAGGATGAGAGATACCATACTAGAGGGAGCCATTATAGGTCCAAGGAAAGATCTGGCACTAGGGAGATTTCCAGAGAACTACAAGGATGACACGAACTAACAATCTAGGCAATGATGGAGAGGATAAGCTAAATGCCCTTCTCCTATAATGAGACTGATGACTACTTTTTATGTTATCCTAGAGCCCTTATCCAGTGGCTGATGGTAGCAGAGGCAGATGCCCACAGATATACACTGAACTGAACTCTGGAACTTAGTTGCAGAGAGGGAGGAATGAAGATCAAAGGGATCTGTACCAGGCTGGTAAAACCCACAGAAACAGCTGGCGTGAACAAGGGGGAGCACATCGAACCCAGACTGCTGTCTGGGAGGCCAGTATGGAACTGATCCAGACCCTTGAACATGAATGTCAATTAGGAGGCCTCTGCACTCTAGGGGGGCCTTGGTAGTGGATTAGTATTTTTCCCTGCTATAGGAAGGGACTTTGAGAGCCCATCCCATGTGAAGGGATGCACTCTTGGCCTGGACACATGGGGGAGGGCTAGGCCCGGCCCAGGATGATATGGTGGACTTTGGGGAGCCCCGGTCGAGGGCCCTAAAAAAGAAAAAAAAAAGGCCTTATGAAGAAAAGTAAAACAATGAAGCTTGATTAGCAAGGTAACTTACTGTCATTGGCTTAGCTATTCAGGTTTCAAACAAGGAAGCAGCTCACAATAAGGTGTCTCAAGAAATCTTCATATTCTTAAGATACTTCTGAATCCATTAGATATCTATGCCAAGGAAGGCCTTACCCCCTATGAGGAGTGGATGGGGATTGGTAAGAGGGGAAGGTGGGGCGTGGCAGGAGAGGGGAAGGGAGGAGGAACTAGAGTTGATATATAAAATTAAAAGTAATTTTCTAAATAAAAAACAAATAAACACCTACATACAAAAAATAAATCTATGCCAGCATGATGAATGGAATCATATGTCATAGCCTAAACCCTGTTTCATTGTGAGAGGCACCAAATGTCAAATGCGAAATGCCTCCATTCTAATTGTAGGAGTCCAGATTCAATTATCAAATTAACAAAACTATTGTGGTCACATTAAAAATAAAAAACGCCAGGATATAAAGAAAGCCATAGTGATACACCAAGTTATTAACAATAGCCATCTTCCTCAAGGACTCTGCCCATATAAACGAATTATACTGGTAACATAGTGCCTGCTGAATAGTACAAACATTTCAAAAATGTTTACCAGAGCATGAAATAGTTCAGCTGGAAGGGTCACTTTCTGACAAGCTTGACAACCTTGGGTTGATCCCTAAATCCCACATGGCAGAAGGAAAGAACTTACTCCAAGAAGCTGTTGCCTGACTGAGCATGCTAGTTGAGGTATGTGCATGTCTCTGTGTGTATTCATACTAAATGACTAAAATGCAGTATAAAAGTTTGCTTACACTGAATTGCCCTGATGATCTAGTACATGTATTTTGTACATTTATATCCTGGTGTTTTTATTTTCTATCTACTTCTTAGCATCTTAAAGCCTTTAGTTGTAGGAGTTTATAGAAATATTACTAACATAACTAATTTTTAATCTATATTGAAGAATTTTTATATACTCTGCAAGTCTATTTATGGCTTCATTGCCCATGGTTTCAGATATCTAAAACTATTAAGTAGAAAATTACAGAAACAATGCATGTTTTCAATTATATGACTTTCTGATTAGTAGGAAGAAATTCTAGCTGTTCTGCTCCATCCTAGATAGGATATGACATTCCTTCATCTATGGTATCCACATTATATGTACGAAGTCATACTCACTTAGCAGTTAATGAAATTATTACTGTCATGGTATTGTAGTGTGGTGAGGTAAGCCCAACATAGACTACTACATACACTCTTAAAACCAAAATGCAAGACTTTTCTGATGGAGGCAGCTGCACGAGGAACTTACCCAAATCATGTAACCCAAAGTCTTATTTCTTCATTATTCATATAAAAGACCACATCCTAATTGACACACTTCAGCTAGAAGCAGAACCACAGAAACTAAAAAGCAAGGTTTGTACATTTAGGGACTTTTTACTGGGGACTTTCTTAGAGCAATGTAAGGGTCTGAGAAATGCAAAAGATCCCAAACTCAAGTATTATGAACAAAGAAAGAGCATTTATTCTGAAGAAACAGCCAGCCATAAGGATCTACCACTTGTACAAAACAGACAGAGAGAGGAGTGTTCAGGCTCCTTTTTAAGCACAGCTAGGGGAATTCCAGGAACACTTAGCTCATTTCAAGTGTGATTAGCTAAGCATGTAGCAGTGACTACTACAAATGTGATTGGTTGAGGTTTTAGTTTTTCCATCTTTGGTCATGCTAGGTCAGGTCTGGGCATGTTTCAGGAGGATTAAAGGAACTAGCACTTTTTGGTCATTGCCTAGAGTTACAGTGGTGGCTGGCTCATATCTTGTACTTGCTCTTTCCCTCCACCCTGATGTCAGGGGTGTTGTTGATTAATAGCCCTTTGTTTTTGACAAACCTCATTTGCTTTTAAGAAACTGAAACTTAGGTCCAGGGAGGAAGTTTAGACCTCTTACTATGGACTGGGTCTTTGTTCCTATTTCAGCAAGTGTTGCAGCCTAAGTGCTAGGTGTTAGGGTTAGGATGGTTCCTCAAACATGGCATCAGTCATGGTAAGGTCTGGGGCCTATTACAGTACTGCATTTGTTCAAGTAATTCTTGTTTTACTTAATAGCAACCATGATGTGAAACCATACTTCTACAGGCTATTAACATACACCAAAGAAATGCCATAAGGTACTTCCTTTAAGTCAAAAAGTAAAAGTTATCAATTAACAAAAGAGAAAAAAAATAAGCTAAGGTTTTCAATATCTATGGGGTCCCTATCTCTTACTTTAAGAGAACAATTGAGACCATGATTTAGAAAGAAAATTTAATTTTTATAGTTCAGGAAACTCAAAAGTTCAAAGTCAAGGGAATACAACTACTGAGTGTTCTTGCTAATAAGGACTCTGTTAAGGCCTAAGGCAGCATGGAATGACATGGAAAGGAAGGAGGTAGCCAAGAAAATATACTTTTGTAACCAGGCCGCTGAAAGACCCATTCATCCATGTACATATTAATATATCATGAGGGAGTCCTCATGATCAAATTGTCTCTCACATCTCAACCTTCAATACTACTACTAATGTATTAATATGAAAATTAATTTTCCAGCAAGTGAGTTTTAGGAGACATATTAAAACTTGAATCTTACTTCTCTGAAACTGTGAAGAGATACAAAGTACTTTAAGCACCTATTGCTGTGTGCTTCAAAGTGCAAAAGTAACACAATACTATTTTAAGGACTTACTTGAGACAAAAATTGTGCAATTACTGAATTCAATATGACCTGTGGTTTCAGGAATACTCTGTTGGTCTTGGACAGTCCTCTCCAATCATCAACCCCATTTGAGAGGGAACCATTGTACCACTGAGATGCTTTCCATGGGGAGTAGAAGTGTAAGTAATCCCCAATTATCCAAGTATCTCATAATCCCAGGAGCTCTTGATTTTTCTTCGTCTTACTGTTTATAGTTGTTCCTATAGAATAGTAAAAGAATGATTTTAAGACACTTAAAGACCACAATTTTCATGTAGGGGTTCTGCCTACTAATATCTTACCTTTCTGCATTATCTTACAAACAAATAAAAAAGGGACTGTGGTATAGAAATAGTCCCAGCCTTCTACATGGTACCTTGAAGACAAAACACCTTCACCTTAACATAGAATGCTTTTACTACTCTTTTTGTGAAACATTCTGAATCTATTCACTTGCTGCTTCAGCAGTGAAGCCATGCAAATGTACTCCACTGCCACCTTCAAGGAACAGGGAAGAGCTCAGAAACTAAACATTTTTATTTTATACCCAACAGGTATAACCACCTTTGCTCTATTATTGGACTAAGTTAATTTGTGTAATGTTAAGGCTTTAAATTTTATCCTTGCAAGTGACTCATTTAATGTTAGGAAGATTAAATCATTATCTTTCTTATAAATAATGCTTAAAATATAGCAAAATTTATAAGGTAATATTAAATGTTCATGTGAAAGTATTTTTAACTTGATTTTACTAGGCACTTATATTCTAAAATGTACTGAATAGCTTCCAGTGATGGGACACTAAGTAATGGGTAATTTTATTTATTATAATCATTTGCTTTAGATAGTCTTTGAAGTAAATTTTGTTATGTTCAATGCTATTTTAATTAAATGTTCACTGTAAGTCAATGTTGTTAGATGTTGGGTCAATATAGTTATTAGTCTGTTTATATTTATAATGGTTCGCTTGCTCCTTTGTAGCAAAATTTAATGGCCTACAAATTAAAACACAATTGGGTTGTCTTGTAAAATAGTTCTAAGAATTATTTTCAAGATACAAACAATGAAATCAGTGTAGCATCCAAAATACCAGGCACAGTAACTCAGACATATAGCCCCAGAATTCAGACAGTGATACAGGAACATCACTGCAAATTCAAGTCCAACACAGCTACATGGGCATTTCAAGGAAAGTCTTGCTGTAATGAGACACTGTTGCCAAACAAACAAGCAAATAGAAAAAATCTAGTTAAGTTGAATTGTGAACTGGTTTATACACAAACTGTGTGTGTGTTTGTATTTGTGTGTGAATATGTATTATACATATTAAATATATATGTGTGTACATGTACACATATATATTCCTTTTTAAAACAAGAAACAATCTTATTTTACATATCAATTACAGTTTCCTGTCCCTCTGATTCTCCCATGCCTCCCACAGACCACCCATGCCATCCTCCTTCTGCTCCCCAGGGAAGGTGAGGCCTTCCATGGGGATCATCAAACTCTGTCATATTATTTGGAGCAGGGCTTATGCCTTCCCCTGTTGTGTCTAGGCTGAGAGAGTATTCCTCTATGGAAAATGGGCTCCAAAAGTCCATTCGTACACTAGGAATGAATACTGTTCCAGTACCAGAGGCCCCATAGACTGCCCAGGTCTTCTAACTGATACCCACATTCAGGAAGCCTGGTTTGGTACTATGCTGGTTTCCCAGCTGTCAGTCTGGTGTCCATGATCTCCTTCTTGTTCAGATCAGCTGTTTCTATGGGTTTGCTCAGCCTAGTCTTTACCACTTTGCTCATCACTCCTCCCTCTCTATGACTTGTTTCCAGGAATTCAGCTCAGTGTTTAGCTGTGGTTATCTGCTTTTGCTTCCATCGGCTACTGGATGAAGGCTCTAGGATGGCATGTAAAGTAGTCTTCAATCTCATTATAGGGGAAGGACATTTAAGGTAGCCTGTCCACCATTGCTTAGATTCTTAACTTGGGGTCACCCTTTGGATCTCTGGACATTTCCCTAGTGCCACATTTCTCTTTAAACCTATAATGTCTCCCTCTATAAAGGTATCTCTTTTCTCGCTCTCCTCTATTCTCTCTCTCTCTCTCTCTCTCTCTCTCTCTGTCTGTCTGTCTGTCTCTCCATATATACACTCTTAATAGCCATAATAACTTCATGTACTATTAAACCATTTTCATAAAAATATCATTTGACATCTCTCATTATTATTTCATGTAAAATAAGGAGAAAATGATCTTAGCTGATAGCCTCCTTTAGATGACAATGAGTTGAAAAAGGAAGACCTCGATGGTTACCAAAGTTGTATATGAAGAAACTTTCAAAATTGGATTGCCAATGCATAAGCAGAGAGCTTTGTAAGTAACCAGGCTTACAGGCCCAAAGATAATGTCTACACATGATTATGCAGAAGTGTCCCACAACTACAAGTCTCTATTACTTCTGTCCTCATGTTGCAGCCATGTACTGAATTGTGGATGAGGGACAGGAAAACAAACCTTGTATTCCCCTAGCTGAGTAAAAGGATATTCCTGGGGCACAAGAAGTACTTAAGCCTGTGATCTGGAGCTTCTGTGTCATCCTCGTTGTTAGCTTGGTGGTGTGCTATAGCACCCTGAATATTTCTCTGTATCTATTTATCTGTCTGTCCTTCTTTGTAGCTTCCTATCTATCATCTATCTACCTACCTGTCTTTAAGTCTTTGTACCTGTCTTTCTATTTGTGTCTCCTCAACTTGCCATCCATCTCTCTATCACCTATCTGCATAACATCTATCATCTATATACCATTAATCTGCCAATAATGTATGCCATACATATAAATGCATATAATTACAATTAATGAAAAATGAGTTCATGAAGTTGAAAGAAAGCAAGCAGGGGTATATGGCAGGATTTAAGGAAGGAAAGAGACTTGGAAATGTAAGTTACCAGTCTCAAATATGACTAAAAATATGCAATTAAGCTAAGCCAATGTATAACATAGATAAATATATAATAAAATTCACACTTTTCTTTAAGGAGAGGGAGGTTATATCAAATTTGCTGGAAGTGAAATATCTTTCATTGTGTATCTCAGTAGCAATTCTGCCGGAGGCCATTTTACTAAGAACACACTAAGTGATGAACAATTTTTGGTCCCATTTCTATCACTTTAGGTAATGCAAGCTTTTTATGTTTTATTGTTTGTTTGTTTTTATGTTGATCAAACTAAATAGTATATTGGGTTGAATAGCCAATAAAAGTATCTAACTTTGAAGTAAGGGGTAGAAAGTTTCTATTCCCCAAGGGAAAACAAACCTAAAGTATTTTAAAAATGTCGTTACCAACAGAAATAATATAATGAAATATTTAATGTCAAAATTGGAGTAAACAATCCAAGGTGAACAAAACATTACTTTGACTAAAGAAGGGATCATGATACTGATTCTTCTTTCTCCACAGGCTCCTGCAAGCCTCAGCATGGTTTTTCTAGAAGCTTCTTTAATGAGAATTTCCCTGGATTACACTCTTGTCAGTCATAGAGTTTGCAATAAGTCAATTTTAAGTAAGTAACATAAACAGGCATACTGAAACACAGTTTGAGTCACTTAAGGTGCTATTTTATCAGCAACTATTGAATACTTTAACCAATTGAATTGTTATGTTTTTCTTCTTCTCTGAACTACTTATGAAGACATTGCTTTGTTTTAGAGATCAATGGAAACCATAAAAGCCATGCACTGGGGTGTTGAGACCAAAGCCTCAAAACCCAAAGCCAACACAAGGATGAAAAGATTATGAAGGCCACATGGCTTCAAGTTGTACTTGCCTCTCTTAGAGTAAACATTAGTTTCTTCAAGTAAAACAAAAGTGATGATGTTAGCTTTCTTCTTTTATCAACATATCAGATTTACTGTGAACATGTTTTCTAGGGTTTAGAATGCAGTATTTGTTAAGTTTTGTCGAAAGTAAATTCTATCAGCCATTATTCTACTGCCCTCTATTGTCTAATAGTGAATAATAATGTCCTTGAGCAGGATACCACATAGAACATCTTTTTAAAAGCAGTCATGTATATCTGTCTTCTTTGTGCTTATTAATAACTTAAAATATCCCCAGAAGTCATATGTGACTTTGGAGTTCAAATTCCACTTGGATTTCTATTTTAATTTTCTGATACTGATAACACAGTACACATAAAGGTGGATATGTGTTAAATTTAAATTACTTGTGTTAACTGAAATAGTACATTTATAGATATTTATTTGAATATATAAATAGTATTAAAATTAATAAAAACAGTGCCTCCTATATACTGGCCTAGGCTTGCAGAGTTTGCTGTACACAATTTTGCTAAAGCATCTACTGACAAATTTTCAGGCAAGCCTTTTTTAGCTCAAAAAAAATTAAAAAATACGATCCTTCTTTCTTTCTTTGCTTGCTTCCTTCAGTCTTTTCTTCCTCCAACCACCAGCTGACTCTCCCCTATTAATTCCCTCTCCTGCCACTGGGAGATGAATATCTGCAATATTCAAATTTTACCCGTGTGTTCCATGATTACACTTGCTAAGAGTAGTAAGAACTAATGGAAAACTTGCCTGAAAAGCTTGAAGATCATGTCACAAGTACGCATGAAACAACCAATAAAAGAATGTAAAAGGCAGAATGGATTCACCATACAGAAGAAAGTTTCAGTGGGAGATTTTGGATCCAGTACAGCTGCTTATAAATGGTTCTCCATTTTGGAAGTAACACAGACAAAAGGAAGACAAAGGACTTGATTGCAGGTGCTACCTAAAGCCTGAGTAGTTTATCCACCAAGAAAAAAAGTAAGATTAGGCAAGAGGGAAACTTATTTGGGTTGCTGTAGACACTCTGCTTCCTTCCACAGGGCAATAGGTATGTCATTGAGTTTGTAGGATACTGATATCATTATGAAGTATATGTTTAGCTAAAAACTCCTAAAGAGAGTGAGAAAAAAGAAAGAGAAAGGGAAGAAACAAAGGATGGACAAATAGTGAGAGTGAGATGGAAACAGAAAAGAATGAGGGAGGAAAGAGAGACTAGATTGAAGAGATGGGAAATAAGAAAGGATGGGAAGAGAGAGAAAAGAAGGAAGGAAGACAGGAAGAGAATTTGGAAGGAATACTGTGAAACAGAATTTGCATGAATTTGAATACATGATGGCACATTGGGTGAAGAGTAAAGATAATAAAATGT